GGGTCTTACTTAATTTATAAAAGCATTTTTATTTAAGGTATTTATTTAAAGTTCATATCAAATATGTTTTATTGCAATCTAAAATGCATATTTAAATTCATTCATACTTTTTAATAATATAAACTTACATATTCGCGTGAATTGCAAAAAAACCCTTCTAGAAGGCATGCAGGGAAGCACATTTTCAGACCTTCTTCACTTAAGAAGGCCTACTTAGTTTATATTCTAGGTGTATAAGGGCCACACTGCGAATGCTACATTTGATTTAGAATTATATATAAATTGGATACATCTTTATCTGCCACTCTTTGTTATCAGTCTAGTCACTCAACTTTTTCAGATTCTTAGCTATGCCTTAAACTCTTTCCTGAAATAAATGCTTTGTCTGATGTTTCCTTTCTGCAGAACGAATTCAATAATCTTGTCTTGATTTAGGTATCGTTTTTGATGAAGTTTTTCGTTTAACCATATTTGTTATGTCCTTTCTGGCTTTCCTAAGGAAATCCCTACACCATAAAATCATTATTTATCCCTTTATTAGGCTCAAAACTAGATTACGCAGTTATTATATGGGCCCTTTTTACAGCGTTTTTGCTGATATAAATTGGGGTCGTTCCGGTTACGTAGAACCGAATGGTCATGTCTTCTACGTAGGGATGTCAGCGATTAATCATTTGATTAAATTAATTGATTATGTTTGCCCAATTTACGATTTAATTGGATCGTAGTTTTGTGTTTCATCAATCGATTAATTAATTGTAAAATAATCGTAAAAATATTTTCAAGAAATATGACTTCTGTAGTTGTCTAAAATCCATCCATCGAACATTCGGTTTTGCTAGCTGCATCAACTTTACTCGACCCAAGGTTTAAAAAAAAATGAAATAATGTGCGCAGATGATCTTACGGAAACGGGTNTGGCTTAAATATAATGAATAAACTCAATTTATTTGTATATGGAAGAAAACCGCAACATCATTGGCGAAAAAAATTCTAAAAAATCAGCGGTAACTTTTAGCCACTTGAAACTTGCACATTATCAGACTAAAATTGATTGGGCTATACAACTGTGTATTCAGAAAAATTCGAACACTTCCGAGGAAAAAGTTTGAAATTTAGGTGAAAATTTGTTGCACTTTTTTGTAGTTTTCTATAAGTTTTTAAACTTGGGTTTATGTGGATTTTGTTAGAGAAAGAACTGTATTTTAATTGAAAATGCTTAAAAATAAATAAATAAACATAAGTGGCACACAATATCACTTTGGAATGGCGTGCTATAGATATGACCGATACTGTAGGCAAAAACCTCTTTTCTAGGTATTTTGCAGTTGTTGTCAAAAAAAAAAACTCCAGAAAAGCGAATACAACTAATCTTCTTTGGATACCTTTCGATAGATTAATTTAGCCTAATTGCGTTGATGTATTTTTTGTTTCAATCGTAATACCACTTTTTGAATTTCAGGCGTTCAAATTCGAAAGATAAGGAAACTTTCAAGCTTTTTCGAAAATTGTTCATTTTATTTATTCCTTTCAGTTGATAAACTGTAAAAAAAAAATATTAAAAGGTTAGGACGAAGAACTCTTTAGCCGGGTCGGGATTATTGAAAGAGACCACTAAACCATACCTCTAACTTCAGCGTATGACCTCTCTGGAAGGTATATCAGGGGTTTAAATATCGGCTGGTTATACTCTCCCAGTAAAAACTTGCCTGGCGAAAAAGTAATTTTTATAGTGGTAACAGAATTAAGCAAAACCGGCTCCCATGAGATCGGAACTTTTTTCCCGCTTTTCCATTCCTTTTTTCTGAAGCAGAGATGTAGAGTTTAGACTCGTTTATGTATATTGCTGTCTAAATGTACTAGTACGAGTATTAGTTAGTTCATATGTATGTACGTATATTAAAACTAATCGTTACCACGACGGTCGGATCTACGAAATCGGAGAACTCGAGATCTATATTTGGACAAAGACTGTCACCCAACAAATTCACCAAAGACTGGACCCGACAGCCTACAGACAGGCCTTGAGCGGCATTCACAGGGACTCAGTCTCGAGTTATGTAGACTCTAGACCTGTGAATGCCGTTCTAGGCACACCACCCCCGGACATTGACGAGACGGAGCTTCATCTGCCTCGGGAGACGCGCACCACACTTGCACAACTTCGCTCCGGCTACTGCAGCAGGTTAAACTCCTACCTGAGTAGGCTGAATGAGGATGTGCCTAATGAATGTCGCTACAACAACAACAACAACAACAACCAAAGACTATTTGGGATATTTTTACGCTATAATAACAAAACGACTAGTTTCTTTCTACATATGCGGGTTTATATTGTCAAAATTCTCCCTTTGATTTAATGGCAGAATCGTTCGTTTTCATGTAGTAGAAACATTTTAAATTTAACGGTTTAATCGCTGACACAATAAAATCCGCTCATAGTAACATCTTTTTCTATAACGATTGAAGCTCTTGTTTCCAATAATTGATATTTCTGAGGCATGCAAATTTGGGAATGAAAAGACATAAAAAGCAACAAACCTAGGAAACATCAAAAGACAAATTCCAAACTCGTGTGTGGGACTTGAACCCGAACTATGTATTTAATATTTTGTTAATATGTTTTAAAAGATATAAAGAATGGAAAATCATAAAATGTATTTTCCTTTTTAACTGTTTTATGTTTGTTATTTAAATTCGAAGTTGGTGTTAGTCGTTTCGACTAACAAGCCCGCAGATAGGGTCAGAAGAGCGAAGACCTTCCAGGTTTAATTTTTCTGACGAACTTGTAATTTTGAGTTGTCACTTTTGAAGATCGTGCGCACCTCTGCAAAATTTACTCTAAGATTTATAAAAAACACTAAAGAATGATTTCATACGGAACCGCTTAAATAATTAATAATAAAAATAATAGATTGGCGCTTGCACATAAGTTAAGAGCTTGGGCGAGCTTCTCCTCCGATTATTGACGTGCGCCTTGATATTGTCACATAAAGGGGAGGGACTTACAGTTTTACGCCGACTGCGAACGGCAAATGTATTTTTATAAGATGCTGTTTTTTCATGGCAGAAATATACTAGGGTATGGCTGACGAACCTCAGGCACGCGTCCCATTGATGGCACGCAACAAAGAAATTTGGGTACGGTATTAATTGACGACTCATTTGCTCAATTATCAGTAGTAGTATCCCAGTAGATAATTTAAGGAGGCGTTGCACTCTACATTCCTTTCTCCTTTCTTTTTTGAATGGAGTGGCACAAATTGAAGGGTTTCTTCTTTCGCTGCCTAAGAAGGCCTTTTGGAGGAGGTCTTTTATAGGTGCTTCTTTAATTTATAAAAATCATACAACTTTGAAGTATTTATTTATTTATTTCATATCAAATATGTGTTATTGCAACTTAATGTTTAATGAAATTTATTTGTAATGCTAAATAATATTTATTTATGAATTCGCGTAGATTGTAAATGGATAATCCCTTCTAGAAGGCATGCAAGGAAGCACTTTTTTCAGCCTGTTAGAATGGCTTTACTCAAGAAGGCCTACCTAAATTATCTTCTGGGATACTACCTAATCGACACAATTTCTTCTTTTTTTTGTTTAAATTGGAGATCAACCCAAGAAAACTGGTCAGAAAAGCCAAAAATATAGACAGCAACCAACAAAATCCACATAAGACATTCGATTCTTGAGTTCTAAGGCATCATTCATCAATAAGCTTTGTGCCCAAGGCATGGCTTCGCCTCCCTTGGGGATATAATGGGCGTAGTTCTCAAAAATATTGACTATAAATTTAGTGGCAACTTTTTTTGCAGATATTACATTGATTATTGAATGAATAAATAAATAAATAATTTGAATGAAAAAATAAATAAATATTTTGAATGAATAAATAAATAAATAATTATGTCAAAAAGCTGCAACTAACTTTAGTGTCGTCTTTATTTTGACAATGAATATTCCCCATGGTTTCCAAAAATTAAAAATTTTTGCCAAACTTAACAAATTAAAATTCAGATTTGGATTTAGATGAAGTCACTGAAGTGTTTTCTTTGATAATAAATTCACTCATGGACGAATTTTCATCGAAGTTTTATGAATTCAAGGATTTATGGACACTCAAATTTATTATGTATCCTGATACCATATAACTTGATAAAGTGAACCTATTTCAAATTTCATTAGCTAGAAAGATTTTGAAATGCAGCTGATTGAGTTCCAGTGTAATTCAATATGGACTAAAAACTTAGGCGAAACAAGCAAACAGTTAGAATCAATCGAATTAGAGTCGCCCAATATGAGCAAAAATGCAAATACTAAAATTTTGAAAACTTGGAATTCAATTCCAGACATACATATGTATTAGCTGTCTGCAGACGAAGTACACAAAGACAATTAAGACTAATTCGTTTTTTTTACGGTTTAAGTGTCAACTAATGTTTCCCAGAACGGTGATAAGTCATGACTTATTTTTGGCCCGAAATGGCTCCAGTGAATAATTCTTTGGAAATAATGGCACAATATATATAAAGTTTCGCCGCCCCTGCACTAGGAGGTTTTGCCATTGACAGCCGAGTGGCGACCGTATTTTTATTTTTTTTTTGGAGTTGCGTTGAACCAGGTTTGAACCCAGGCTCTGCGGAATGGTAGCCCGCACTGCTAAGCACTGCACCGCAGCGGCCGCGAAATGTGCTTCATTTATGATTTTACGCAATTATTTTGTTATAAACAACATTCCAAAAGAAAAACTACGTTTCTACATACATTTTTGTGCTTAGGTTATTTCCGTTTTCGTAAACGAAATAAGCAAGAAATATGTATATTAACCGGCAGTGGGCGGACATACTATTAAAGTTGGCAGACTTTATCAAATACCGAAATTTTTGCCTGAATCAATCATCTGCACCTCATGAAGTTAATTAATGTCTTATATCAATATATCTATATGTTCTGATTGAAGAAAAATACAGAAGTAAAAGAAAATTGTTGAAAATAATTACCGCATATGAGAAAAATATGTAGCAAAGGCTAAAGCTAAGTAATGGCAACGTCAACGACGATTCGTGATGGAAAGGTGCAGCAGTTGTAGAAATCACATCAGCGGCAGCAGCAGCAGTACATATACATAGATATATGTACTTTTTAACCATGTACAATTGGAAATTCCCAGAGTTAGATGTCGTCCATCATTATTTATATATTTACGCCGATACTTTTGACAAAAATATTGCTATCAGCATGAAGCAAACTACTTTTAGAAGCTCTTCAACAATTTTTTAACAATTTTTCAATGCACAGATTGTGATAACTTTAAATAAATCTTAGTCGTCTCAATATTCAGACATTTTTTCCTCTTCGCCTTATGATATTCCATCAGAAGAAATTGGAAAAGAACGAATGTAGGAACACAAGACAATCGGAATTGATGAAGTAGACAAACAGCAGATAATCAGCCAAGGTGCAAGAAGAAATTCATGCAAAGCACACAATGAAATCAAAGCCACACGGATGGCCGGAGAATGACATACAACGGGAAAATGCCAGCAAAAAAATTTTCCCCCTGAAAAATTGTTGTGCATTGGCCTGCGTCCGCAAAGATATTTCGGGGTATTGTGTATACCTGACCCTTTGATGTAAATTGCTACCCCCATAAGATATTTGCAAAATATATTCAATAAATATAAATATAAAATCAATTTACCCATCGTTCACACGTTGTGGTTTTCTAGCATGCATTACCATCAATGCAAAGTTTTTTCGTCCAATTTTTTTTCTTCGTTGCGCCGCTGCACCCGACTTCGACAAATATGTAGGGCTCTTTTGCGCTACTCAACAATTCTACCGCTATCTTGGTTACTTTCGACCAAAATATTCACCCAAGTTTTTCTTGGCTATATCAAGTGGTAACCAAGTCTTTGGGCTTTCAAAACTTCTTCGTTTTCCTCAGAAATCACTTTTTCTGGGAGGGACGTCGTCGACTCAAACTTCGTCGTCGGTAAAAAAGCGAAACTTCAATACGGCTCTACTGGAACGTGCTCGCCCTTGCTTACGTTTTTCGAGCAGTTTTTAAAGACTTTCTTCGCTTTTTTACTTTATATGAAACGTCCCAGTTCACACTTACAAATTTCTTTCAATTTATATACTTTTTTTGCAAATTATTGGATAAGAAATTTTTATTATAATTGGGGCTAAAATTTCTTTTATCTGCGCTGCTTGCTTTTCCTATTGATATGACACTTGATTTTTCTGGTTGTTCTTGTGTGTGTTATTTGCTCCTCTGCTGTCCACCATCTTCGTAGAATACTTATACTTTCTCCCTTTAACTTACCCAATATTCCGTGGTGGGAGAGTGAGTACACTATTGGAGTGGTAGTGTGGTGAAATCTTTCTCTTCGCCGCCATTTTTGATAGAACCACGGTTGCACCGAAACCAAGTAAGTGTTGGGCAAGGGCGCTAAGTGCTCATTTACACACGGCAACTTTTCTGGAGGCAACCTAAGAGGACAACTCGTTACTTTGAAAATGTACCACCAAAGAACGTAAGTGTAGCGAGTGATTCTGCAACGTTTGCAATAGAAATTTTGACGTCAAGTTTCGTAAATGAATTTTTAATTCATCGAAGGTAAATTTATAAGAAGGGACAACTCGGTACTTTAAAAATGTGCCGCGTCGATTTTGACCGTATCTGAAACGTTTGCAACAGGAATTCGTCTCCGTTTTGACTCTGTCCGCGGCAAATTTTTTTTCGCTTCGAATACTGAAAAGACAGCAAAACAGAAGAAAAGCGGCAAATGTGAATTTCTGTGGTTATTTTGCACAAATGGTTGAAAAAATCTAATTTAATTTAGAAAATATATAAATTAAGGTGTAAAAGATAGAATATTCAGTGCATGTGTAAAATATGGAGGTGCTTATTTGTGAAAGTGCAGTGTTTGTCAACAAGAGCCGATTGTTGTTAGTGTACTTTAATATAAAAATGCATTAGTTTAATAAGATATCTTTGCTTTTATATGTTATGTTAAGAATCGTATATATTTACATTATTTATCACTATTTTACCATTATTAGTAATAGTATTTAACTAATTCGTTGGTAAATTCTTTGCAGTTTCACTAGCAAAGTTTCATATGAAAAAGAGCACTTAACACTTATATTTTTATAAATATATGATCTTTGCAATGTTCACGTGTATTTTATGTACATTAAATGTATTTTATTTTATTTTTTAACAAAATAAAACGCGTTTAATTATTTAACTTCTATTTGACAAAGTAAACAAGCAAACAAATCAAAATGGCTGAGATGGTGAATATAAAAGGTGCTACCACATGGTTGAAAATTCAACAAATTAAAACGATGGGATTTTCAACAATCTACCACTATTTCATAATGATCTCGATAACAGTAGGAAATAAATGAGTGTAATGTGTTTTTAAAATATGTTAACAAAGAGCTCTGCATAAAGACCCAGGTTTACCACACAGAAAGGGAATTTTAGTTACGTTATCCTTTCCCAAGGCTACATCATTGTGCGGTAGCCCCAATTGGTGCACACCAAAGGGAGAATTCTATTTGGTAAGGGTTATAATCCTACGCAGGAAGGAATTCTACGCAAAAATAATGTGGACGCAAGTAAAACTTGAAATTTCGGCCATTTTTCTAAGGCAAAAAACATAGTGATGCGACAAAGAGAGCGACAAGACATTTTCGGATAACAGCGACAAAAACAAACCTTTATTTTTCAATGTGGCAGCACATAGTCAAGCGAAAAGCGAAGAAAGCGACAAAGAGCATAGCGACGAAAACCAAAAAAAAATTGTTTTCGTTGCTTTCTGAGCTGATGGTTGCTTAACTATGTTTTGACGTTTCTTGTCTCTTTCTTCGCTATTATCAGAAAATGTCTTGTCGCTCTCTTTATCGCGTCACTATGTTCTTTGCCTAAAGGGTCCCTAGGGACCAATAAGAAGCCTAGGTGGTCGGGCGCTTTAAAAAAAACCATACTTCGATTATTAAATAATCATAAAATTTCCCTGCGGCGCTTTCTAATAAAAATCGATAATTCGATAAATGAAAATTTTTATTAAAATCAATACTTCACCTGCGTCGCTATTTTTATATAAACAGTATTTCAATATAAGGTGAATACAAAAACCCCCCACTTTTTTTACTATTCTCATCATCTGGTAGCACCAATATCTGTGTTCATTTTCATCACTTCCATGTAATCAATGAAATTTTTATGGTGAATTGTGCAACTTTAAAAGTTAATAACTTTTTAAATAAAAGCCTACGCGCTCTGGGGTTTTCACTTTTAGGGCCTGTTTTTCAGTACACAGCGTGGTTTAAACTAAGTTTAAACGCCCGATCTGGCTGGTTTAAACTAAGATCAGCCAATCAAATGTCAGTCAACTGTTCAATTTAAACTCAGTTTACTTAATCTCAGTTTAACCTGTTACTGAAAAACTGGCCCTAAGTATCGTAAAAGGCTCCACTATATTTTGAAATTTGGACCGAATTTAAGGAAAATTTTCCCGCATAATGCGCCTTAGTAAACTAGTAACTTAATGTTTAAATATTTTTCTTCTAAAATATATATATTACTTGTCAAAAACATTTACTCATATTTGCAGAAATTCTTTTCCAAAAAGGGCCAGCAAAGTAAAATGAAGAACAACTCCTACCACACTGTAAAAGCTTTGTGTTTTCAATTGCTACCAGATTTTTCGATATTACACAGTTCTTGCACAAAATATTTGAACCAGTACAGTTATTCGGGCGGGTCCTGAAATTCACTTCCAAGTGCAAATGGCTCAAGTTCACTTTGAATCCAAATTTTGGTGTTCTGTATGTCTTGTGCTTCACGTCAAATGAATTCTTATTTTCATTCTGTAAATGAATTAGTAAAAATCTCGGGATCGGGATAGAAAATTGTCCGGGAATCCCGGGATTGAATGCCCTAATTTGTGTATACATTTGCATACGTTTTGTTTTCATAGGGTAAGAATAATTTTTTTCCAATTTTTTGTTCATATTCATGCAAAAAATAAACGCGTAAATGGGAGACATAAGTTGTCTCCGTCTTTCTTACATTCTAGAAGTTTTGACTTTAGATCAAAATATCATGGGCCATTTGTGCAAAACATGTATGTATATTATGTTTTTTATTAAAATAAAATCCCAAGCCACTAATTAATGGCTAAGCTCGAGATAAGTTATTTTTACAAACCACCTCAGATTTTACTTTTCATTTGACTGACTATGATTTCTTCAATTTTACATTTTAGAATTTTTGTGGCCCTCGCGTAGACATTGCGCTTGTTGGCGATGCGTTTGCGGGGAGATGAGTGTCCATTGAATTATGAATGAATGAGTTTGACCTTGCGCATGCGTTTATGAATGAAATTATTATTGTTGTATTGTACATATGTACGTACATTTGCATGAATGTAAATATATTAGGAGGGACATCGCATGAGTACATTTGTACAAGTTGGTGTAAATTATTAATTGATTTTAAATGTTCAATTTATTATTTTATTTGTTAATTAAAATGTATATTTCAGTCATAAATTACAACTTAAAAAAAAAATAAAAATCAAAAGTTAATTTTTATTTCTGAGAGAAAAAATAATGCTCAAGGAATGAGTTTTATTTCCGATCAAAGTAATAAAACTCAAAGAATAATCATTATTTTTGATGAAAAAATAAAACTAAAAAAATAATGATTATTTCTGATCAAAAATATAAAACTCATAATATAATAATTATTTTTAACCCAAAAGAAAATAACTCACAAAATAATTATTACTTTAGAGCAAAAAAATAACACTCGAAAAATGAGTTTTATTTTTGATCAAAAAAATATAACTCGATATATGATTTTTTTTGAGCGATTCATTTAAAATCGAAATGTAATTCTTAGTTATAATTTTTATAGATACCGCTCAAACATTTTGAAATCGTAAGAGATTCATACAGAGCATGAAAAACATTCACATTTGTATACTCGAAATTGTTCTACGATATTTTGAACCTTTGTAATATTATTTTACACAAACAATTTACTTTAGGGTTTTTAAGGTTTCTACACAACGTTGGAACTTCGTTATACTACACCGTAAAAAAGTAAGAAGAAAATAATTTAATTATAGTTGACATTTTTCAGATAATGTTTGATATGCATATGCATGGGCATATAGCTGAGGCGTTACGTACCAATTGCGATAAAATTATGGAGAATAAATTATTTAAAAAGGGGGCGGACATTTTTTTGTCGGGTGTTGTTAGTTATCTCGAAAACAACTTTCAATTAAATAACAACAAATTTGAATAATTTAATGGTTTGGCCTACAAAATACAATTATTTGTTCTCAATTTACTGACATTGTAAAAGAGTTTTTATTTTTTTTTTTTAAGGATCTTAAATATAAGAGAGAATGAAGTCTACATTAAAGCAATTTTTAAATAATTTTTAAACAACTTTTTGACTATTTAAACTCTGAAACACGTTAATGTGTACAGTCATGTTAAAATTAATAACATTTTTATTTTTATCCAACAATACCAAAATATTGTTAAAAACAAGTACTCTGGCATTTTAATGTATTTTCTGTTACTTGCATTCATAATTTTACTTTGAATGTACTGAAAAGTACTGATTTTTATAGCATGAAAAACTCCAAGGTACTGATTTCGTGCAAAACAAATCTGGCAACCCTAATGTTACTACAACTATAGAGATTCAAGTTTTGTGAGCTAAGAACTCGTAAGGGAAAATAGTCAAAGATTCAAAGTACAAATTTTTCGTATATGTATTGAACCTAGTTCATAGTTCTTTTTTTTTCTTTTATCAATTCATCGGAATATTTTTGTATGTATGTTACCGCATAACATTAGACCACGTTAACCGATTTCTATAATTATTATTTTTTTTAAGGAATCGTGGTACCTCAAAGGAGGTACTCTTAAATTTTTATATGAGTATTGAAATCGGTTATGGTTTTTACTTAAAAATTACTTATTTTTAATACTTATTGAATTTTTTCTGCCTGCCATCGTATTTGAGTAGTGCTCTTGCCGCCGCAGTGGATTGCGTAGGTCCATGATTCAATTTCTGATCCCAGCAACATCAAACAGCGAACAGCGGTCGCTCCTCGACAATGGCCAATCTCTCAGTGCCATAAAATAGCTTCTTCGGAGATGGACTAAAAGTATACATGCCTCCATTTGTGTCACAACATCAAAAACCAGAACCCGAATTGGAGAAGCTCGACCAAAAACGTATGTAGAAACCGTAATATTGGAATCAAATATGATAGGATAAATAACCTAGGATATATGTAAATTTAAAACTATTTAGGAGTTTCCTAAAAGCCTTGAAAACTTCGAAAAACTCAAAACTTTTATTGAGAGGTAAGATTTGTAAGATATGAAAAACCGGTTTATTGGAAATGCAAAAATCAGTATTTAAAAAAACTGCCTATAGATGTCCCAAAAAACCTGGAGAAACCCGGTTTGGAAAAAACCCTAATGCTTAGTCCCAGTTAAAAGTTGCTGGATTTAGTCGGAACTTTTTATTCTGGTAAATTCATGTAAACTGTCGAATGAAGAGCATTCATAGAAAATAAATTATTGCATTCGTAGAAAATAAATTACAGAGTTGAAGTCAATTATAGCCAATATTTTGAGCAGAATAGTAAGTATGTGAGAACTTTGTCGCCTGCTTGAATAAATAATTCTGTAAACAAACGTTTGGCATTTACATACTTGCAGGAAAAATGGGTTTTTTGCGTTGAAGCAGATTTTCTCAGTTCATAACCCGTTACGCTCTCTTGTGAGAGATATTTTGCTTTTTACCAAACTCTACTCTCCCTGGAACGCATCTAATTAAGCGAATCGCCAAATGATAAAAACAGCAACAGCTATTTAAACAAAAAATGGCGTGTTACCTTGCTACGATTTTTCGAAAATTTTAAAATTTGCTACTCCCCTGCGCTTTATCCTATTTTTACTACGCTTTTTATCTTTCATTCAACTTATGGGCAGCACTATTTGTAAATCACTATAATTTCAAAAAAATGTGGTAAACAGGCCATGGCTTCAAGAGATATATGTATACTCTTATTGCAAATTGTGAAAGAAGCGTCTGACCAAAAACATCTGCAACATAAATAGGCACCACCGGTCAAATTTTCGCATAACAGACGGAATGATTCAATGTTCGAGAGGGATACGAAGTTGCACAAAGATTAAAAAAATGGGGGAGTAAAGTTATTTAGCTACTATTTACTAATACATCTTTTGTTTAGCAAGTAATTTTTAAGCAAAAAAACGCACTTCAATTCTCATATAAAAATTTAAGACTACTGTTTATTTATACATGTTCCAATGATCGGATCTAAACGAAATTAGTATGGGACCACCTGTGACGTTCACTTTTCCTTTAAAAAATTTAATTATATAAATCGGTTAACATGGTCCAAAATTATGCGGGAACACACATAAAAAAATAATATTCCGAAGAATTGATAACCTCCCCCTTTTTGAAATCGGTAAAATAAAGAAAACAAATGAATTTTTTAAATTTCATATATTTTTCTATAAAATAAAAACGATCTTCTTATGTGAAATATTTACATGTGTAAAAGTGTTGGTGCGTATGTACTTAAGAGGTCTGTTAATTTAACTAGATGTATGAGTATTATAGAAGCATACTATCGGGCGATTGCGCTTATGTTGCGTTTGATCGGCTCTTAACACCCGTTAAATTCTCCAAATCGCATGGTTGGCGACGTAAAGCAGTAGTTAGTGTGGTGAATGAAAATGTTTATGGCGGCGCGGGCGTTGCAAAGAGGGCTGCAACAATTTCGTAGTATTTTAAAATCCACAAAAATAAAAACTTTGAACACATTTAGATTGATACATATCACAAAGGGGGCTTTTCGAACTGCATTGTTTTAGCGATCATTTTATTTACCCCAGCCACCAGACCAGCCACCACCACCTCCACTGGACCAACCGCCACCGCCGCCACCACCACCTCCTTCCGAGATGACTTTGATGATTTTGACACCACCACCGTGGCCGCCACCACCACCACCACCACCAGACCAGCCACCACCGCCGCCGCCGCCGGACCAACCGCCGCCGCCGCCACCACCACCTCCTTGAGAAATGACTTTAATGATTTTGATATCACCGCCGCCGCCGCCGCCGCCGCCGCCATAACCACCACCACCACCCCAACCGCCACCGCCACCACCACCAGACCAGCCTCCACCGCCGCCGTGGCCACCAGAACCAACATCGATGATCTTAACAATCTTGACACCTCCACCATGACCACCGCCGCCCCCACCACCAGACCAACCGCCACCACCGCCGCCAATGATGCCAGCATTGGCAATGGCACAAACAGCCAGTAAACAAACGAATACCTGAAACAGAAGGAGAAGAGTATAAAGTCAAATTTTTAAATAATAGTAGTAATCCATTTATAGAAAGTCCTGTGAAGAATTTTCTTAGCTATTGATAATCCACTTGATCCCTGATTTGTTTACACACCTTCATGTTGTTGTCTCTGTGCTTAACTGATATGGAAGTCGAGAGAGTCAACTAAACAACTGATGTTTTAACCAATGCGATGCGTGCTTTTATATGCGAAAACTATGAGAGGCCTAGTGCTGTAACAGTTTGCGTGCGCGATAGGCGCCAACGGCGGCAGTGAAGACGCGTTGCAGCATATGGCAGCAGCAGCATCAGCATTAGGCCCTAAACTTCCGACTATTAGCATGCTAAGCATACAAAAAAATTCAAAAAAAAAAACAAGAAGAAAAGAAACAAAAAACTAAATTTTAAACCAAATAAGAAACCGGCTTCCACAGCTCAGCTGTTGTTGGTCAGTGTGACTTTGGTGCTGTTGACCGTTGTGCCATTGTGGCCACAACAAGTTGGCCACTGATCGTTTATGCCACCGGTTTGTTTATACTTTTTTTCTACAATGTATCTTAAGATTTTTCATAAACTTCCCTTTCATTAAAGCATTTATTGTTTGGTATTTGATGAGTTCGTGCAAAATTTGTCCAAGCATTGCTTTCATTAATTGCACTTTTCGTTATTGTTGTTGGTTGTTGCCATTGCTCTTAACGACTAACCGAATTATGCAATTTACAAGCAAATAAAAAAATGAATACAGACACTAATTAACAGTGTTGCCAAGTTTTGCATTTGAAAAAGCACTAAAACCCAAGAAAAATCGCGTTTTTTTCTCAAAAAAAGCACCAAATTTTTGTTGGAGTATTTAATGGACTTTGTATTTATGTGCATGAAAAATTTTATTGTAGGGATGCCAATTTAAATTGATAAAAATCAAGGTATTTTGCTCAACGGTCGAATCTATTCTGTTTTCTATAAATTCAAATATTTTCGTTCAAGCAACTTTAAGATTCTTGTTCTTATTTTTCTAATTTGCAGCTGTGTCCAGCGTTGCCCTTTCGCTTAAATGTAAGCAACATTGATTAATTTTTCCTGACTGCCACATACTTATGTATATTGTTGTTCTCGCTCATGATTGTCATTGTGACATGATTTCATTTCGATTTTTGTAAAGTTTCTTACAAAACTTATAAACACAAGCACCAAGAACTAAACTCTAAAATTTTCGCGGTTTGAATAAAGAAAAGCACTAAATTTAGTGCGAAGAGCACCAAGTTGGCAACAGTGCTAATAAATGTACAAAATGCTAGTGATTGCATATCCAAATTTATGTCTTTAAAATTTAAATTAAAAAAAAAATTGTATAGTAAATACATACATACCTTTGTATATATATACAAACCCACACATGCATAAGTACAAATGCACATACATACATACATGCTTTAACCAAGTCGTGTTTGTTGACTTACCAAATGTTTACAGTAGCTCAATTTATTAAGCAGACACATCTCCACCGCTGGTGTGTCGGTGTCAATATTGCTAAACTCAGCTTCAGCTGTCATTAAATCTGCTTACTGGTAATAATCGTTAGTTTAAGCGTTAACTGAGAAAACATACTTGTATACATACATATGTAGATTATCCTTAGAACCCTTTTCAGTGCCCACTGGATTGTAGTGTGGATAAGCCATGGGCTCATGTGGACGTGCACAACAACGTGCAATCAGAAACATGGGATCAGCTGGAAGTACTGGCAAATTGTTACAAGTAAAAATTTATCCAGTAAAAATTCATTAAAAACTTGCAACTTCAGCTGTCATTTTTGCTCTCTCAATAGGTGCGTTCGTTTAAAATCTCCAGTAAAAACCAACCAACTGCCAAATTCCGGGGAAATGTCATCTGTTCTCTCACAAGAGCGAAATATCCAAAATAGTACGCGAACAGAAAATTTGCAGAAACTTGCAAGTTAGACGAACAGCTGATATAATTTTTGTTTACATTCAAAAGTGTAAAATTTAAAACGTACGAAAAGTCATCACAAAGTGTTATACTGACCAGTTTATTGATTAAACAAATAACTACTTATTTCTTACAAGTTTAATTAGTCGAATTTTGTAATTTTTAACTTCCAAACCATCAAATTCAATTTTGTGATTTGCGTAAATGCCAACCAGCTGTTTTTGATCAGCTGTTTTCCTGTTGGCAAATTGCTGTTGGCAAAAATTTTTCCAGCAGAAACCAGCAGCTCCCCTCAAAATGAAATGTCACTTTGCTCTCTCAATTTCCCCTACTTTGCAAGTTTTTTGCGTATGCGAACGCAAAAACTTGTAAGTTTTGGTTAAACATGAACAATTAACAGCTACGCGAACGCAGCTAATTTCACCTACTTTACAAGTTTTTGCGTACGAAAATGCCACAACATGAAAATTCGTAAAACATTTTACTGGATTTTACCGGAAATGGGTAAACAAACACAACTAATGTAATTCTTTGATAAATAGCCCTCGTAAGTCCAACTCCATCTACGCTGACTACAGTATTTTTGCGAGGAACACCTTTCCTTTTTTTTTGTGAAAAAATTACGGTGACGTCGACCGCCATAATAAGGCCGATTATTATTATTTAGGGAAATAAAAACGATCTACATAAAGCTGTGTATTGTCATGTTCCAGATTCTGGCCACAGACGATAGCCGTTTCCGGAAGTGTAAGTGTCTTTGAACTGTACCTGAAGTCCTGTCAGGTAGCCTATGAAAGGCCTCAGACCCTCTTGACTAAAATTCACACGACTTCTGTTCGTTGAATGTAGAACAGTGCAGGGCAGAAAAAAATATGGCATTAAGCGTTATAAAATATGCGTTGAGTGCAAGAAAACAGAAGAGAACAGACTTAAGGCGTTCCAAAATTACTTTAGAGGATGTTATAAACTTCTTAGATTACCTCCTTCCCGTAGGAACTCACACAAAAAGGCTGGGGAACTTATAGGCTCCGCTGGAGCCCAGCTATGAGAGAGAATCAGCTCTTCCGTAGCCATCAATGGCCTCATATCCGCGTACACACCAAAACGAAGACCACCACCTTATGAGTGATTAGTTGATTCAATAGGGCTTTGCAGTTGTCCACAAACCGAGATGTAGTTTTGAAAGAGTCCAGTGCTTTTGATACTGTCTAACACCCGGCCCAGCATTGCCAACCTCGAGAATGCATCCATCAGTATACCAGACTTGGGGTACTATTACTTATAGTTGTGATTAATTCTCTGTCCCTTTCAGGAGTTATTTCCTTGTATGGCTTGTTGAAGGATAATTTCGTTAGCACTTTGTATATGAGCTTTATGACGTGATCCTCAAAGAATGGTTTTAAAATCAACAGCCAACCATCCTTGCTGCGCTCTAGCAAGGCCCATTGTCCATTGGCATAGCTAGTGGTCGTATACCTGTCATGATTCCATATTAGACTTCATACAAAGGCTTGACCTTTAAAGAGGTATATGATGTAAGAAATTATCTAATTTTACCAGATTTCAAAAATGTACCGAATCTAAAAGTTGTGTACCAAACTTGAAAAAAATAACCAAAAATGGTACATTTCGGCCAAAATGGCAACCGTTACCACAGTGCCTACCCACTACTTTTTGGCTAATAAATTTTTTTGTATAAAAACTGAGTTATTCAAAAAAATTGAATTTAAAAAAATAAGAAAAAAAAGTTGTAACAAGTAATTTTTAGCAAAAAAAACGACTTCAACTCTCATAAAAAGAATATATATATATATATATACCTCATGATCCACTGATCATGGTATGGGACCACCTCTGAGACACTACCTTTCCGTTGCAAAAAAAAATTATCGAAATCGGTTGACGTGGTCAAAAGTTATGCGGTAACATACATAAAAAATAAAAAATAAAATAAAAATAAAAAATAATAATATTCTGACGAACTGATAATTTCCTCCTTTTTTGGAAGTCGGTTAAAAACCCGCGAAAGCCGTCAGCAAAAAAAAATATAAAAAATCAGCGCAGTTTTTTAGCCGCTCAAAAGTTGCACTTATTTTCCTAAAATTTCCTGTTAACTGCATACCCAAAAAATTTAAAAAAATTCTAGTTAGAAAGCTCAAAATTTAGATAAAAATTTGTGGATTTTTTCTAAATTAGTTTGAAAGTGTGATTTACATACATATATGGTTTTTGTTAGAGCATGAACCATATGTATTTTTATAAAAAAATATCAAAAAAAAAATGTTTGCTTGAAAAACATTGCCAGTATTAAAAACGAAACACCATTCATCTACCTTTGACCGGCCTTGTACATTATTAGGGTGGTCCCAAAATGCATGTGGGAAAAAAGAAAGTCTTGATTTTTATGCTCTCACCCCCTACCCTTATTTTTTTAATTTTGAAATCAAGAAATATTTAGAGGTCGCTCAAAGCGCCCAAAGTTTTTCATGTATTTTATATGGGAAAAAACAACTTTTCGTAGAAATGGTATAGAATAGTTAAAAATCAATATTTTTCTACCAGAAAACTCTGTTTATCTGTAGGAATTTCCCATTAATAATACCCAATTGTCTATTTGACAATTTTTTTATCGCAACTATAATTTATAGGTCCGCCAGAAACCCACAAAAACCCCGAAAAAGGCAATGGGGCAACCAATAAAAAATCGTTAGTATTAAAAATGGTTAAATAAAGAATTGGGTATTATTACTGAAAGTCTCCTGAAGAGAACCAGATCGAAAAATACTGATTTTCAAGAATTCTATACCATTTCTACGAAAAATTTCATTTTTCCCATATAAAAATACATGGAAAACTTCTTTGAACGTTTTGCGCGACCCCCCAATATTTTTTGATTTCAAAATAAAAAATAGGGGTATACTTTTTTCGATATAGAGCTATCTTAGGGCGTGAGAGCATTACAATTCCGACTTTACTGTTTTTGGACCATCCTACTGTACCTATTTTAAGGAACAGAGTGGAATATGTAATTTTTTTCGATTTTCAGACAGGCTATGCAACTTTTATATTTCATATTCACTACACGTATGTAAACATCTAGCTTTCCACATTTTAGCAGTGCATAACTTAAACTTATTTTGTTTTCTTATTTAAAAAAAAAAAATAGAGTTATT